TGAATAAAAGTGAGAAAAAACATTCTAAAAGTTGTTACTTTGTATATTTTGTAGTATTTTTTGTGGGTTTTGCGAGAAGGTCCTGGGCCAGCGCTAATACTGTTCGGGGGGGACGTTGCATAAAAAAGTTTTGGAACCCCTCATCTAAAATGTAATTACAGTCAGAATAAACAGATTTTATGTTAAAATGACCTGCCATACTTCTAGACTGAGTGACTGACGTGTCACTGTGCTTATGCTTTACCCAAGCGGAGGAAAAAGTAGTTCCCTCAAACCACATACGATTTTAGCAAGATTTGAACAGCTTAATTATTTTCCACAATTTTCCTGTTAATGATATACATTATGTAAAATAACTGAAGTATCAAAGTATCGATATTTTTGATTTTAGTATCGATTCTAGAGCATAAAGATCTGGTATCGGTAGTATCGATATTTCAGTATCGATCTGCACATCACTATCAACCAGGTGTGTTTCCCATCACGTCTGCATGTGTTTGATGGAAGGTGGAAAAGTCTTACTTGATGTACGTGTTGGCGTTCCCCTCAGGAAAGACGTAAGGATGTTTCTTCCTGAAGACGTGACCGACTCGGCTGCAGGGGAGGATCTCCAGGCTGCCGCCGCACTGCCAAACCCGGAACGAGATCTCTGCACACGCCACACACAGAAAGCAACAAAACAAACAAAACATCAGCATGTGACAGAAAGAAAATGTTTAGCTGAATATTCCTCGACTACTTGGATAAAAAACAACATGAAGAAGCTGACTATAAACTGTCACTTCCATCGCATGAACATCTCAAAATTGAAAAGTTTGGTGTCAAAAACTGAACTTGAAATGATTATTCAGGCTTTTATTTGTTCTTGTTTGGACTATTGCAACCGTTTGTTCACAAGAAGGAGCTGGAGCATCTTCACGTTGTTCAGAACCCGTTTGCGGTACCAGCTCACTTTTAAATTACCATATTTATTCATGTATAATACGATCTCGTGTATAATACGATCTCATGTATAATACGACCCCACTTTTGAGCTTAAAAAGCATAAAAAATTTAATCCTCAAACTACCTCCAATTTCATCCAGACTTGAAGATTTTTCAGCCTTTGCAGTCTTTATACATATCAGTAAAATGATCATTGGACT